AAATTATGAAACGATATCTACAGTATATGCTATCATTGTTCATGGTCATGTGATTTATTATAAAATCACGTGTTGATATACATACGAAATTTTGGACTGTGCGGTTTTAGATGATAGCCACCATAGTCCGAGAGTTTGAGCAATCTAGTTTGTTTCACAATAAGAATTGTTTAGATATTCCCATAATTTGGCCTGCATCAGTTATGAGGCATAAAATTAAGATATCGTAGTTTCACTATTGTAATATGTGCGTACCTCCTCGTTTTGAGTTACTAAATTTGGTAAGGGAGATAGTTTAGCATTCGGGGAGGTAAATTATAGTTACCCTTTCTACCTCCCCAATTTGTTGCCATATAAATATGGTAAGGGAGGTACTGATGAGAGACACACTCAAATTTTAGGCGATAATAAAAAGGTTGACTTTTTTTTTGACTACTATTGAAAAAAGAAAAAATTGTCAGGTGAATTTAATTTTAACTTAATTCGGTCTGAAATTTTTTTAAAAAAACCCCCCGTTAAGCGATAGCCCTGTCGCTCTAGCAACTTACGGATAATAAGAAAACTATACAACGATATAATTCCTTAATCGAAGGCGTCGTATAATTAAGAATCTCGGCTGCTTTTTGTATAAGTATGATTTAAACGATGAACTATATGTTTCACTACTGATCGCTTTATATGATTTAATTATACCCTATTAAACGTTTAAATTAAACGTACTATTACACATGAATGGCACGGGCCTCAACGCTCAATACAACATAAATATAACACAGCTCCTATCCATATTCTTCACGAATTTTCTAAATTATTAAACTTAGTACAATGTTATCAATGTTCTATTTTTTCAATGCAAAGTTTCAAGTTTTATTTTACAACATTCTTGCTCACTGACAAAAGCTACAATCTGACCTACACTTATCGATAATCCTAAATCATGTAATGGCTAATACTAATACGAGTTTGACATTCAATAGTACGCCCATTTATCGTACCATTAGATTCACACCGTTTGAATAGTAAGGTCTATGAGTTGGCCTGTGCATGCAATAGGATCGTTGAGTTCATTCTAAGGTGCCTACTTACCGGAACCAAACAATATACTAAAAAGAAAGAGGAAACGGACACTCTTCGAAACGCTGACATTACCAGAGTATATCACAATTTTCTGTTGTTCGATGCAATTATAAAAATAATTATCTGGATAGACCATTTACTTTGCAAAAAGTGTACTAGCCACTAATAAAGCTTAAAATGTTTTATCGTTAACTCGTTATTGTTGTGCACTGGTCAATCTTTTTAAATTATATACAGTCAAGCCTCTCTAGAGTGAAATACTTACTCTCCCTAAGTGCACGACCCCCTAATGCATTATCTCTCTAAGTGCAGAGAATGCTCTGGTACCTATGGAAATAAGTGCAGGTTCTCCCTATTCTATAAGTACACGATTCAATAAACAGCCAATCAAATTTATAGATCACGTCCACCATTTAAGTACTGCTAGTATTTAGCGAGAATGTTTACAAAAATTAAAAGAACTACATTAACAAACTGCTTGTTCTCAAGTACAAAGACAGTAACCCCAATGCTACCCACGTAAATATTGCTCAATGAGTTAAGATGACCTTTAAGGAATATTAAAACGTCACCAATACCAAAAGATTAAGAGCTGTCCAATATCCTGATCTTGAAAATGCAATGTACGAATGGGTCATATAGTATCAAAGAGAAGGCAAAACAGTTTAAGCTGTTGAATATATCCAAAGACGAATTTAAGTTTCGACTGGTTATTAAAGTTCAAGAAAAGACAAGTCTTACTTGCTTTTTAGGTTTGTTCGTTGATTATTATAAGATATAACAGTATTTATACAAACAAATCACGTGAATTCAATATTACTGGTTCTCCCTAATGCAGGTCTTGCAGGCATTAGCGTCGGTCCCACTTAGGGTAGAGCAATTCGCTGAAACATGGAAATTCTGATAATTGAGTAGAATTGTTGCGCAACCACCTTCGGATTAACGGTTTTGACGATATGTCTGAACGCATAGTAGTCTTGATAAACGGGAACAAATAACGTATTTCGATTAATTATATTGTGTACATCTCTTATATATTATGACTAATACTAATGTGTTCTGGAATCCAACAATATCTAGACTATTTTTGATATACTTGTCATTATAACCCAACAATTGTGCCGCAGCCATCGAAAAGGCTAGACTCTTCGGATCGACCAAACGGGTTGACGGGAAACTAACCTGAATATTAAACTGCCAACTCGATAAATTGGCCTTCAAATTCCTTTATACTTTCTTTTTTGTGCTACCGTATTACTATAAATGAAACGTTGTTGCATATAAATGATTGCTTTCAACCCGTAAACTTGTATCGAAAACATGTTGTATGCTCGCTCAAACATTCAACTTCTACCACCAATAATTCTCCTGTTTTCTCTTATGGTCGATGCTCTTCCTACCCCTACTGACGGGAATTCATCGGATCCAACAAGCGAGTCGGTCTTTGATTTGATGAGCACCGTTCTAATTGCATCAATCATAACAATTGATGTTGATCACATAAAGCGTGGAGAAAAGCTTCTACAAAGAACTTTCTACTCAGTCTGTGCACTCATTACATTCTTAATAATTCCTTCTATGGAAATTTGGTTCTGTGTTGGAGCTTACAAAGATACCAATGATACTTTTTTTATTGCATATCTGACAACAATTCTTTTAATGAGAGCTCTTCGACACGCTATTGAATTGTGTCGTATGCGAAATATGTCTGTAAAATACGTTTATCTACTTCCCCTATTTTTGTATTTTATATGTAGATTTGGCAAAGACATAGTTTTTGGCTTTATGGCCGTGAAACGAGGATACGTAAAATCGCCGACTCACTGGTTTGTTTTTGGACCCCTTATCATGGCATTCCTCGTTGGTGTAGGACTATTTATATATATTCTAAAGTCTTCGGATGAACTCAACGAGTGGGAACAGACATTGGAGGCAATGAATGATAAAGTTACCGAGGAGGAGCGCAATGAAAAGCGTAAAAATTTTATAAGAGGTTTCAGTCGAAAATTTCGGAGGGCAGTATGGACAGTTGGGTTTTGTTCCCAACTAATGTTTTGTTTGATCGTTGTACCTTCGGTTCTTTGGATAAAGCTTTACCTTACGTTGGGGTTTATAGCATTTACGATGCTAGATATTTCTATAAAATTACAATGCAAAATTGAGAGAACCGAGACGATCAAGATTGAGACAAAAACTGGAACAGTGGCGACAAATAGCGCGTATTATCATGATCATAGCATATCAAACGAACAGCATGAAGAGCGTCGAGAAGAAATTTTGGTGAAAAAATTTGTTTATACACTATCTGCATAAAAGTACCAAACACTCTAATTTTACTAATTACTCAAAATTAATAAGGCTAAAATTTTTAGAGTTATTTTTACTGTATTGTTTATAACTTTCAAATAAACTGATTGGTAATTTTGAACCTGTATAGTAGTCGAATTATTGGCTTTCAGAGGCGGTGCTACAAGACCAACTCTTGGCTTTTCTAAAACAACGGTTACATAATCATTAATAAAGAAAAAGTTTTGTAACTCGATTACAAATTGTTTGTCAAAAAACTTTGGATTCTGAGCTTAACAAAACGGCATGGCGAGCAAATTTTCAAAAATTGTCTCGAAGAATTAAAGCAAGTATAATGGCTGGTCGACAGGATATTAACTCTATTATAGATTTATGAATTAACAGTTGTCAAATTTTAGCTTTAGTTATTGTGTGTAATTAATAGAATTAGAGTGTCCGATATTTTTGTCCAGGTAGTGTACATGGGCAAATTCGATACGTCAAACACGACTAGTTGGGATAATTATCAAGAGACCAATAAGATTTGCCATAACATATCTTGTTTTGATGATTATAATTAAGAAAGAAACAGGATAAAGAACGAAAAACTGCTATTACTATTGCTTATTATTATGTAATAAATGTTTATATTAGTCTGTTTTAAAAATTGTTTCCTGCCGACTATCTATTTTAAATCTCTTGATTCCGAAACAAATTGACTACTTATTTCTATGTTGTTATTCTGCTCCAAGTAATTAAACAATGAAGGATACGAACTATCAATAAAGATAGTAATTGAATAGGAGGCATTCTAACGATGGTTTTAAATTTGCTGCTGATGGTTGAGGTGTCGGGTATATAGTTATTCATAAAGGAATACACATGATTACGCTAGTATTAGCTAATCCGTTTACGTATTAGCATTGATATATGTAATAACCGTTTTTAATTGATTTGTCCTGGGCTTTAGAGTCTGGATGATCATGTGTTCTGATCGTCTCATGTGGGATTACAATCTCGTAATGTCACATACTTGTGATACCACAATATATAGAATCATTGGGTACAGTTAATGTCGATGTTTTGCTATGAAACTCCAAAATGTAAGTTGCCAAATGACATTTAAATGATATCGATGAAGTTGTGACAAATAATACAGTGGTCTCGGAACTCATGGTAATAGTAACTTGCCTCTGCGACACTGCGACGCTACATAGCGTATGACAGTTTCAATTTGCCAAGGAATTTTCAGGCTAGACGTTTCTTCATAGTCACGCAATACGTTTTATTTATTTCGTCTTCTCGATGATAAATCGGCTGTATAGATACTTGAATATTTTTATTACAGTATTGGCTTTCCCCCCCTTGGGCCAGTCATTGTATACGCAGCATCAAATTTTTAACGCTCAAGACTTTTCACTGATAGACATAAACACGATCTTGTTTTTCAGCATACGAGGACACATTGTCGATGTCGTGTAACATTTCGACACTACAAATTGTATTTTATTCTCGTCCTGTTTATACGAACGATCTTCATTTTCCATTGGAACTTTCCAAATATCGATACCATAAAAGCAGAATAATACAATAACGATAACTTGGAAGGCTAAAAAGCTTTTCCATAACATATTTTAGAAAACGGCATGTCAGAAACCCGGTGTTAGAGGCACACCTTGTCCGTTTCAGTGAAGTGGACACTCACCAGCCACTGCACTCAACACTATAAAACGGAAAAGTTCGTTTATATTCTACTTGCTTGAGTTATAGACCAAAATTTACGTAAAATTAAGTATTTTAAAACCCAAAGCCAACCACCTACATCAGTTCAAAATATGAATATATCAACAATATTATCCATAATACTTCAATTAAGCTCTGTGCTGTGTACAAAAGGCGGTGATAGTAGTGGTAGTGAAGGTGGTAGTGGCCATTCTGGAGATTGTGACGAGTCTAATACTAGTACTAGATGGGTATTTTGGTATTACGATCCGCATGGAAATCGGTCATGCGGTAATCTTTGCATCCTCACTTTAATCATCACACTTGGCCTCATCAGTTTTACGACGATTGGGTGTCTTCTCTACTGGCGCATTTGTTCGCGCAAACAAGGAGAACGAGAATCATTCCAATCAAACTTCGATAATGCCTCAATATCAAATTCACAACGGACTGATCTCGAATCCGACAATGTCCTTTTATCATATGAAAATAAACCTCCTGTGCCTGAGTCCACTGCTCGGAAAAGACGGAAACACAAAGCATCGACAGATGCATATGAAGCAGCAGAAAAGTTTGCACAAGATTATCCTCCTCGGGAGAAATTTCCATCAGATACTGACATAAGTTACATAATAAATAAAGGTGGTGCGCCAGCATATCGTTTTGATCTTGACCCGCAATCTGCCACGCGTCAGCAAACGACTGTCTCGGATGACGGACGAGTAATACAATTTCATGGGGAAGAAGATGACATTGTACAAACAGTACAAACAAATTATCCGTTGTTAGTCCCGTCACTTGCATATGCAATAAATACGACCAGAAATGAGAGTAATAAGAGCAATGAAAGCAATGACGTGAATCGCGAGCAAGATAAGAAGAATGTAAAGGATGATGCAATTATACAAATTCCCATGTATACGCCGGTGCTGACGTCCGAACCTATAACGGTATTATACTAGTCTTTTCGTATTGGAAGAACAAAGTACTTTGCCTAATGATTACTAATATACTTTAATATGACAAAGCTCGAGAAATCATCAAAATTATTATCGTACGCTTCATCAGAAACCGGTCAAAAACGTTCTTTGGATGCTGGTGACAATCCAGAAAGCATATTGCATTACTGTGAGATAACTGTGTTATCCAATACAAACCCAAAGAATACGACAATAGCAATAGGGCTTGCTACAAAACCGTATCCACCGTCCGGGTACGCGTATTAAGATGTATGTGATCTTCTTCAACTAATGTTTCTGTCCCATCTGCTGACTTTTTTAATTCTCATACAACTAGATTACTCGGCTGGAACCTATACTCAGTAGGCTATCACTCTGATGGATACAAATTCAATGATGCATTTGAAGGCCGTTCTTACGGTCCTGAGTGGGGCAAAGTTGGCGATACTGTCGGATGTGGATATTATCCAGCCACTGGACTTGTATTCTTTACTAAAAACGGACAGACTCTTGGCACTGCATTTACCGATATTCGACATCTGTGGTATCCTACTATTGGTGCAGACGGTCCATGTAAATTAGAGGTCAATTTCGGAGATGGAGAGCGACAATTCAGATATAATGAAGCGAAAGGGTTTGGACCTACCGGACCCGTTAGGAAAGTAAGTTCCTCTACCATATTTGGGAATAGACAACTTGCTACAGTTAGTAAATGTGTATCGGCGTTAATTTACCTCCCCGAGTGTTAGAGTAAATCAAAAATCTCTATTGTCAATATAATATGTACTGTACTATTTAAGCAACAATAAATTTAATACAATCGTGTAATTTGATGAAGTAGCAGTATGCAGAGTATAAATCTACTTCTTATTGTAATCTGTATACTCAAATACAGCATTCCAGAATTGTCGGCATCAAAATTTGATTTGGAGGGCGTTCAAAGGTGAGTGATGTTATTCCCAAAGTCCAAGGTATTCAAATGTATCATAAGTTTGGCGCATTATTATTAAGAATGACTTGGTAATTTGCTGGTATGTTTAGAATTATTGCCTTTTCTGGTAACATGCAAAATACATTTATGTCGTTAGCTAAAGGACGCGTCTCCCGAATGCTTGTGCCGTGCCACACGTAATTTTTAGATTGCTGAGTAATGTTAGTTAGAATGTGCAGATATGACACCATTGCTCCGCGAGTGTAATGGGTTTGACGAGACATTTTGAAAATGGTCCACAAAAAAAGTTACATGACAATGTTAAAAACTTCACGTTTGTTTTGCACATGTATTACGTCACGCACATCATTTAAAACGAACAAACCTTTGTCGCCACTCGACAAAAGGGTTCTTAACAAGAGCGAACATTCTGCTCTTTCATACTAACGTCGGGTACACACACACATACGCACACAAATCTGCTTCTCTGTTATTAACGTGTACCGCGCCGAGCAGATTAAAGGAGAATAATAATGCGATAAAGAAGTTCGGGGAAAGTTGTTATTGTATGTTTCTTAACTTGTTCAGATATTCGACGTCTTTTCAACAAATAGATATCTTCTTTTCAGTAAAATAAATAATCGCGTCATAAATTTAACAAACCAATTATACAGCACATCGAAAATTTTTAATTACACAAAATTACACATAATAATAATAATGATATCTCAAATTTTAACATAACATACTATAACCAATGACGTACAGTAACTACATATTAATCAATATTTTGTTGGCCACCCATTGTTCAAAACAACTGCTTCGATTTTCCGCGGCATACTTTCTATCAAAGCCCTTACTTGACGTTGTAAAATTTTGCCCCGTTCTTCCTGTAATGCAGTCTCTAATTCTGCCACTCTTTTTATTGCCTGTGGTCTGCTTCTTATTCTTCTTTCTAACTCTGACCACAAATGCTCAATTGGATTTAAGTCAGGAGACTGGCTTGGCCAATCTGGCAAAACTTTGATTTTGTTAGTTAAAATCTATTGCTTAACATCTTCAACAGTATGGACTGGAGCATTGTCATCTTGAAACCAATACCCCTTGCAATTAAATTCTTTATCAAAGGTAATAGATGCTTTTCAAGTATTTTTATATATCATTTTACTCTCTACTTTTACTAATGGCCCCGCTTTTTTACCAGAAAAGCATCCCAACATTATTAATCCTCCACCTCCAAATTTTACTGTTGGAATCATATTTTCAATATTAAATCTGGTACCAGGAGTTCTCCAAATACGGCCTGGACTATCATTTTTAAATATTGTAAATCTACTCTCATCACTCCATACAAAGTTCATAAATATTATCATATTTTAAGCCCTCTCTCTTTATCTTTGTCTTCTGGAGAATGTCATTCTGATATTGCCAAAATCTATCAGTTACATTTATAGAACTGACTTTCCACTATACAAAGAAGCAAATTGTGAGATACAGGCAGTACATGTATTAGTATTTGAATTTGACATACTTTAACCATTGGTTCATGCTTCAATTCACTGGAAATATTTTCTAGCTCAAATTTGACTTTATTATCTCAAGCACTTCAGTGCTGTCATTAGGAAGGGTTTTAGGACTCGATGGTATCTCTCTGTTCTTTGTGCTTTCAATATAAACTTTACATTATTGCTCTTGAAACTCAGCCCCTGATGATTTAACAGCTGGAGTTGCAGAATTGATACTTTTTGAAATATGAATTAATACCTGTTGAGCCTTGTAAAAGAGTCACTTTAAGGGGTATGAACATTGATATAGGGAGGAATTGTGGAAGAGACCTCTTCACTTTAATCTGCTTCTGCTCTTGTTCCACTGGACCAAATTCTACATCAGAATATATTTGACATCCCTATCGTGCTATTTGATGGACTGTTTTTCTTCCCTTCTTCTGTAATAATAATAATGAGTTCAACAAGGACAGAATAACAAGCCATTATGAGGGACATGATTCGATTTCTTGTTTTCCAAATTTTTGGTGTTTCCCTCATCGCTGGTATTTCTCTGCTTGAAAAAAAATAAAATCAATCAATCCATCTAACAATATAATATTATTGATAATATATTTCGGAACAATAATGGAGGGAAGAAAGTTCACAAGAAGCCATGGACACGGACCACAGGTTTAGCTCAAGAGAACATACCTTATCTGGACACTCAGACCAGCCCAATGTTTCCATGACCGCACACAGGTGCTACCCAGTCGGCGTATACTTACGAGACAATTGGCCCGAACTATATTCACTGACGAGACAGCATTTGATTTTTTCAGAATAAAGTCAGTCGGTGGCATAAGAGTGGCGAAAAACTGATTCGCCGATTACCAAAATCACACCAAAAAGTAATGGCATGGGGGGGTATTTCACGAAAGGGAAAAACACCTTTATTTTGCTTCACAAATATAATGAAAAGGCCTTTTTATGTAAGTATATTGCAGACATATCTGCTGCCTGCTGCTCAACGAATGTATGGCAAGAACTGGCGTCTGCAACAAGACAATGATCCAAAGCACACATCACGTGTTGCTAAGAATTTTATTGTAGAAAATGAAATTCGGACCATTGACTGACCATCTAATAGTCCAGACCTAAACCCCATCGAAAGCGTGTGGTATATAGTCAAGGATAACGTTGAAAAGCGGATGCCAAGAAATATTGACGAATTAAAACAGTTTATGACTGAAGAATGAGACGCAATTCCAGAAACAACTGTACAAATTTTTGGAGAAAAACGGGGATAGAATTTCGTATTGAAAATTATATATATAATAAAGCACATGATAAGCTTTCTAAAAAATTGAAATTGTTTAAAAATTTCGCATGGCCATTGAGTTATGACATTTTTTGTCAAGGCGGTTTTTTTCGTTACACACTATATATAGAAAACATATATAAAGATATTAGACTAATTTCCTTTGGGGAACCTTTATTGGTGTATGAAAAGATGGTCGCGTCATTTCTTTAGTTAAAGCCTCATTGCCTTGATTGTTTCACGTTTAGATAGGTTTTGAATACTTTTTTTGCAGATGTCTGTGGAACAGGTCATTATAGTCGATTATAAATAAATTCCAATAATATTATACATTATATACTAACTTTCATTTGCATAAGGCGTTCCATTGAAGTGGGAAGTACGCCAGGATTAGAACTATCCCGAGGAAGATAAAATTTCCCCAAATGAATCATCCGGTAGACAGCATCATATTTTAAATCCATAACAAATAAATGACATTGAAAACCTAGTGTCACGGTCGGGAATTAAATTGGGGGTTTTGGGAGAGCGATTTATCTTTTCGCGTAGGTGTGTTCGCCGACCGGGGGATGTTACCAGGCTTAGTTCGTACTATCGCCTTACTACGATAGTTGTGCAATTAAGACTCAAGTGACCTATTTTAATTATGCGCGCTTCTCACTCCCTATCCGAGTTTCAAACACTCGTGAATACAAATAAGGGTACCT